GGGGCGCAGGGGGGGGGGGGGGGAGGGGCGGGGGGGCGTGGGGGGGGGGGCGGGGGGGGGGTTTGCATCGATGCGTGTTGTCCCATATTTAAGTGCTCCACAAAATGAAGCCCCGGCGACGAGTGACATTGTTACCAGGGATATGAGTATTGACCAGTGGGCGCGTGATTTTAACGACAGTTTAAACTCTTTTTATTGATTAACATTTTCATAGATGATCACGTGTCGTATCAGAGCCGCCTGATTCCTGTGATGAACGCATTAAAGACGGGCCCCCGTGGGCCCCCTTCCATCAACGTGTGTGTGTGTCGGTGTGTGTGTGTCGGTGTGTATTGATGGGTGATGATAAGACTCACCCTCCTCCATTGTCTCCTCTCTCCCTCTGCTGGTCACCTGTCCTTCGCTGAGACATATCCAGGTTGGACCTGATTCATAAATAAGGCAGAGAGAGAGGACGCCGGTCCTGAGCGCCGTCTTTGGAGTCTCTCCAAGGCAGAAGACACCGAGGGAGGAGAGACAGGGGGAGTCAAGTTGGGAGGGAGGAAAGTGTGTGTGTGTGTGTGTGTGTGAGACGGTGAGAGGGAGGTGGTGACATTTTCACTACTCCACATCTCAGGAACCAACCTCAGGCTCCTGCCTGTGGCGGTCATTCAGATACATGAGGTGTGAGGAGGCTGCGTCTCTGCTCCGCGCTGGCATGTTGTCGTTGTTGTCGTCATTGTCGTTGTCGTCGTTGTTGTAGCTGCTGTTTAACTACACTTCAGTGTTTGGACTTTCTTTAAACCTCCGTTTTTTAAAAAAAAAAAAAAAAAACCCAGATCTTTTCTGCAGGAGCTTTTATTCAGGTAGGTGAAGATTTTACTGCAGAATATACAGCAGTAAAACTTTATTTTTAGTCGACTAATTGATCACAACAGCTGATTTTCTGACTAAACTTTATTTTTAGTCGACTAATTGATTTTCTGACTTTTTTTTTTAATATATATATTTTCACCTGTACGTCTGAACATGTTTTGCAGTATTTGCAGTATGTTTTCGGGTTTTTTGATGACCCTGAATTGACCTGACCTGAACAACTCTTCATCAAATTAGGATTTTTTTTAATTAGGACTATGTAATATATACTGTATATTATTCCTAGTCTGTAACTTTAGGGACTTTTTCCCGATGACTTTTCTTGGTGACAGTACGACCGTCGTTGGTGCGACGTGGACTAAAAAACACTGTAACAACTGTTGATTTATATTGAGATGGAGAATCTTTATTGACAGGTTATATTTATTTATTATCGTCAGTGATCACACCACTGGTCACTGATAAATCCTTCATCTGATCTGTCGACTCTCTGATACTGTACCAGTCGTATTCAGGAAGTTTTACTACAGTAATACTCTGTTGTAAATTGTTTTAAATCTTAATCTTAAAGCTGAATCTTTTCAGCGTTCTGTTTTCCTCCTTGACCAGGAACTAAATCTTAAAGTCATTTTTGAGCTTTGGAACAAAAAGATCAATCTGTTATTTTATTTATTTAAATGTATTTTTTCGTAGCTGCTTCTTTACTGTCGGGACAAAGTATATAAAAAATGTTCATTAAATTTTGCAGCAAATTTTCTTAGAGCAGTCAAACTCACCCAGGTCTGAAGTCGCTATTTGTCTCATTGTTTCTTCCTCCAGTTTGAAAAACAGATATTTAAAAATTCCTTCTTTTTTTTTTCTTTTTTTTCTTTTTTTTTTTTTTTTTTTTTTTTTGCTTCACAGCTTCTTTTTTCCGATGTAGAATCAGACTGATTTTTATCAGGTTTCCACTCACTTTTCTTTTTTTTTTTTTTTTTTTTCTCTCTCTTTTTTTTCTTTTTCTTTATGGCTGTCAGCTGAGTGTTGGCTGAAGATGAGGCGCTTGTCAGACAGTAATGAGCCCACAGAGATGTTTATATCACCAGGGTTAGGGCTACAGGGTGTAAAGGTAAAACCACACAATCTGTAACAGTCCAGCAGCAGCAGCAGCAGCAGCAGCAGCAGCAGCAGTATCAGCGGGGAAGCACCAGCCTGAGATAAAAGAGAGCGCTGGATCGAGAGAGACAGAGAGGGAGGGAGTGAGGAGCAGGAGAGAGAGAGAGAGAGAGAGAGAATGGGGGGAGCAGGAGAGTGATGAGTGAGCGATAGAAAGGAGAAGCTGGGCACACAGAGAGAGAGAGAGAGGGAGAGAGTGGAGACACAGAGAAGGAGTCAGGGTGAGACGCTGAAGCTCATCTAACCAGGAGTGTCTTTATCTCTTCTTTTCCCGCCTCCTCTCCCTCCTTTCCCACCTGGTCTCCCAGCTCCCCTCCTGGATCCGATGATTACAGGGCAGCTGAGTAAGCCGCTGCTCTCCCTGCGAGGCAACATGAGCGTGGCAGAACTCCGGGCGGACGACAAGGCGGCCACCCCAGACAGCGAGCTCAACGACGAACCTTTGCTCCTGAACTCCGATGGAACGGACAGAGAGGGAACTCCCAACAAGCTCTACGGTAAGTCCACTCACTCCCTTCTTCTTCTCCTCCTCCTCCTCCTCCTCCTGCTGCTCCTCAGAGCTCCTGCAGGAGGTTTGGTTTGAGGAGCAGAGAGGTGAGACCTGTGCTGGGACAGGTGTCAGGAAGTGGGAGACTGAAAAGTTAAAGTTGAGGGAAGTCAGAGCCGGGATGTTTCGGTGTTTGAAGTTGGTGTGGAAACTTGGAAATGTTTTCATGTTTTCAGTCCACACTGGTGCAGAAATCTGTCTCTGTGTTTTGTCTCAAATGTTGTCTCCTCTGGAGGACACGTCTTTATCACAGCTCCAGTGTTGGTTTAAAACGCTTTAAACGTTAACTTCTCCCTGGAAAAAAAACTTCCTCCAGTGTTGGTTTAAAACGCTTTAAATGTTGACTTCTCCCTGAAAACAAAAACAAAAAAAAACATATACTTTTTAAAATATAATTTTCCTAATATTAACATTATTTAAATGTAAAAACATATTTCAGTTTATTCATGATTTTAGATTTTCCTCTTGATACAAAAATCCTTTAAATTCCTGATGTGTTTGACTCTATTTACTGCAGATTCATCTAAATTAACTCATCATTTCTGGCATCATTACATATGCAGTGTTTACATCATCACTCTGATTACTCCTGAAATATTTTTTATTCTATTAATTTTTTTTTAGTGTAAGATTAAATCTTTAAAAAGTCTATTAATTTCCTCCTTACTTACACAGTGTGTAGATCAATAATCTCATTTAGTTAATTACCACCAGCTCCTTATCAAATCTAATTCAATATGATTTTTCATTATGTATTAGAGTGTGATAATGATAAGTGATCTATAAAAGAGAACTAAATGTTCATAATGTTTCAAATCATTCTAGCAGAAAGTCGTTCTGATCTCGTCAGTCTGAACTCGTTTACACTTTGGTTTCTGTCATTATCCTCCGAATTTCTTGAGAATTAAATTCAAATATTATTTAGAACATAATAATAATAATAATAATAATAATAATCAACTATTTTAAGCTGTTGAAATCAATATTTACGTTGATAATTTCACTTTTTTTAAATTTATTTTTTAGTATGACTTTGGAGTAAAAATAAGACATGACCTGATTTAAAACATCGGTGTCATGTGACCTTTCTGTCATTTCACTATTTGAAAAGATACACTCTGTGTGTGTGTGTGTGTTGCCTGTGATTTCGACTGCACTTAGTGTCATATTTGGGTTTTTTGTGTAGGAAAATTTGAGATTGAAGAGATAGAATTGGTCAAGTGTGGATTAGAATTAGTTTTAGGATTAGATTAAAGCATGTATTTGGAATTATAAAGTGGACACAGTGGTGTATGAATGGCTCAAAAAACACAAAAACCTCTGCGTGTGTGTGTGGTGCGTACGTGTGTGTGTGTGTGTGTGTGTGTGTGTCTCCAGAAAGTGTCAAACGCAGCAGTTGTGGCTAAACGTTTCTGTGAGAAAGATTAAAGAAAATAAGAAAGTCGGTGATGGAGTGAGTTCCAGTCACGTCTCCTGGTCAGATGTGATCATCCAGTGTTGGTCTCTCTTTTTAAATCCTCATTTGAAGAATCACCTGCGATCGGAAGCTTCCAAACATCCAGAGTGTTCCGCACGAGTGGTCTCCAACCCGCTGTAATTCCATTGAATCAGCATCAAGTTTTTTTTTTTTCTTTTTCTTTTTCTGTCCTTTCTCTCTGATCAGTCTCTCTGTCGACTTCTGCCTTTTTTAGGTTTATTTTTCTCCATTTTTGTTGTAAATATCTCTGCAGAGTTTTCATATATATATATATATATATATATATATATAGATATAGAATTGAATCAGTTTTTTCTGAGCCATCAGGTTTACATAACTACTGGATTTTAACTTAACATTTTTTGCTGATGTCGCCTGGATTCACTGCATATGACCAGTCAGAGTGAGGCGGGGGCCGTTGGCACAGCCCACAGCAGCAGGTTTGGTTTGGGAACCGTTGCCAAATGACCTGTCAGACGGAGAGGCAGGGACCCGTGAGGAGACGCTGTGTGTTCTACTGCTGGGGGAGATAGAGGGGGAGGGAGAGAGAGGGGAGAGAGGGGGAGAGAAAGAAGGACTCAGCATCTTTTCATTACCCTTACTCTGGAACTGTGACAGAGAAGAAGAAAAGCTGTGAAGACATTTATTTGGTGTCAATCCCATTTTGTTGTGAGGAGAAGCTGAAGGTGATTGGTTGATCCTCTGCTCTTTGATGACGTTCCTCTGAAACCAGAGCCAGCTTCAAACCAAGTGTGGCTGGTCATTTAATTTTCTGTAGTCTGAGCCTCAAAACAAAAGAAAAAAATATATAATCCTTCAGTTTGTCACTAAACCTGAACTTTGTCCATATACGTTTTATACATAAATAACATAAAAGTTCATAATAAACCTGTTCTGTTACGTCAGGATTTTGTTAAATTTGTCAGTTTTTCCTGACTGTCTGTTACGTCAGGATTTTGTTAAATTTGTTGTCAGTTTTTCCCGACCGTTCTGTGGAGGGAAAGATTTGACTCCTCGTGTTCTGAGAAGAAAAACTTTTACAGCAGAGTTTTAGTGACTGTAATTATAACAAACGACACCACAGACCAGCAGCATTAACACACAGTCAGAGTCAGAGTCCAGGTCTGAGTCTGAGTCTGAGTCTCTGCCTCCTCCATTTTAATGAACAGAGTGAGTTATTCCCATTGAATTTGAATTAAACGCCTGTTTAACAGGTTCAGAATCAGGCGACTGATGTTAAAGGGACACGTTGACGACCTGAGGTGTTTCTAAATAACGGGTTTAATAATTATTAAAATATAAAAATTGATTCTGTGACTGTAGCCTTCAACTTCAGCATGTTCCACCTGAAAAACAACAACAGAATAAGTCGATGACAAAGAGAGACTAAAGAAAATATTTAATAATGTGGATATTTTTGCCTTTTTGGACAAAATGTCACATAATAGTCTGCTTAAAAAAGAAAACCTTTTTAGAAAAACAGAGACTATTCCACAGTATAGAGAGAATTATAATGTTACTTTGACAGACATAAAATCAGTGATTACATAATTGACTTAACCCTTTGGTGGACGCTTGTTTCCATGGTAGTTACAGAAATACAATTTCAATTTCGAATATATATTTATATATTATTATAAAAAAAGAATATTTTCATTGCATATATATTTATATATTATTATAAAAAAGAATATTTTTATTTTTGTTTGTTTTAAGAAAAGATACTATAAAATACTGCATGACGTGATAGAACGAGAACATCTACTCTGACCAGCGTCTTCTTTCAGTCCCTCAGCGCTGCCTGATTTTTTTAGCTGCTTTACTTTGTCGGATTCGTGCGGTCGTGTGACTTCCAGCAGAAGTCGGTGGGAGGCGTTGACAGCAGCGGTCATGTTTGTCCACAGTATAAACTGCCCACCTGCTACACCCATCACACGCTCACCGCGGCGGTGAAAGGGTCGTTCTGCTCCTAAAAGCTCGTCTGTGCAAATAGTCTTCCACTTCAGCTAACAGGGGCTAGGAGGCGCCGCAAACATCCCGCCGCCTCGTGTTTATTCCAAGTACAAGTGGACATTAGGCGGGAAAGCTGTGGTTAGTAGGGCAAGCAATTTTTTCTCAATGGACGAGATGGTGTTGGAAGTGTACAGTTTCTGTCTTCTCTCCTCCAGCAAATCTCCCCCTTTCAGACCTCAACAGACAGGATAATAAGACACTCACGGCACAATTCCGTATTATATTCAGCAACCAAAGGCTCATCTCTTGTCAGTTTGCATTTACTCTTCCAAGGATGTGACGCTTCTATCATCATGCTGTCAAAGAGAGCCGGGCGAGAGAGACAGGAGCACTCATTTCATACACTTACTGTCTGAAATCAAATGGTCTGCACTTACACGGAATCCTGCCAAAATGGTGGAACGTTTTCACAGAGGTCACCCCCCCGAGACCGCGGCCCTCCCCAGACGACCAAAATATGATCGTTAATTGATTTTGGTTGTAGGTGGACGTTCACGGAGACCAATCCGGCGCATTCTGCTGTGATGCTGTGGCGTCTCTTTTTATTTCGTGATTCAATTTAGTGATTTGGACAAACTCGGACTTCTGCGTCTACGTACCCGGAATTCCTCCAGGTACAGAACGAAGACAGAACTCCAGAAACAGTGTAAACACGGAGAGGCTACAGTCTGATCATCAGTCCTGTTCATGTCTGTTCTGTGTGACATGCTATAGCTACCACGATGTTCAAAGATGGAGACCATAAAACACGCTCTGGCGTGTTAGCTCGAGGCTAAAGTGGTTCGTTGAAGTGAGCAAAGTATGAAATATTGAGGTCTTTTTGAGAAAAATATTCTTTGGTTCTCTTGACGTTGTAGTGTAGGTAGTCGATCGGTAGAGGTCAGTGTTTCTCACCTGTTTTTTCTAATCCAAATGATGGGATAATTAATATGGAAAAATATGTATTTCACTCATGGCTCTTCATCTTCATCTTCATCTTGATGCTGTTTTGTAGAACATGTGCCACCTATAGGTGAAAGAGGGACGTAACACATGGTTCTTTCTAAATTCAGTCCTCAACAATATTAAGGACAACCACAGCTGGGCTGCAGACCAGAGGTTGAACATTGTCTGTGGAAATATTGTGTTAAAATTGATGACTTTTTTGGGTCTTAATTGGATCAATTTCACTAATTAACGCGTTAATGTCTACCTAGAGCTAGGTTTAGTTTAGCTACGTATATTTAGCTCCATCATTTCTGATGTTTTAAAGGAAACGTGGCTTTTTTTTTTTCTTATTTAAACTCTGTTACGTTAACTTAATGGTCATTTAATGATGTCACTGCAGGCTGTAGATGTGGGGCAGAGCTGCGATCCTGGTGCAGGGGTTTTTGCTCCAGCACACCAACACAAAGGCTCACACTCACAAACACACATATCGCCGGAGGCATAAGTTCTTATTATTTTTGTGTAATCAGCTT